CGAAAAATAAAGCAAGAACCAGGCTGACCTTCGTACGGGCAGACATCAACGGCGGATGGATCATATGGGCAGACGATTTGACGATGGATACTATTGTTGACGTGCAATCCAAACCATACATACCGTAGGGGATTGGACACGTAACTTGGTTTATTTTTTAGATCTTTGGATGGTTTTGAAGCACTGTATTCCACTTTCATAAAAAAACAATTTTTAGAGAATTTTTTTACAATCAAATGGATAAATATGCAAGGAATTACTTAGCAGAAGGCGTAAAAAATAAAGAAGATATTATCGTTACGCCGGATTCTGAAATTTACAAAAATCTCAACCAGCATTACAATCGAAATAACCATATTCAAGTAAGAAACTATTTAAATTTTCTAAGAACTTTAAATTGATACCACGTGATTGCATTTTTTTGCAACATTTTAAGCGGAAAGCCAAGAACGGACAATCACTGTGGGTTTCCCAAGTCAGTGATGTTACTGGTACGCTCCCGTATGCTGACTCAACTGTTTTTAACGGAATTAATAACTCTAAAAATCCCGGCACCTTAGAAATCCTTGCTTTTTGATGGGAATATTTTGAATCTACTTCAATGTTACATTGGTATTAGCGCATTTCTCGAAAATATCGTTGCCTTTCCAGGGCATTCTAGAGATTTGTGAGTTTCGGTTATGAAAAGAATAACTGGTCGGTTTTTATAACCAGAAGCTTTTTTTTCGAAGAATTCGAGATTGGTTATATTTTCAAACTAATTGAATTTTTTTACTTCCAATGTTTTTAGATCCAAAATACCTGTTTTAACGCGCCTTTAACAAATGTTACAGCATCATTGTTGTATTACTTTTCTATTATTGTTATTATTATTATTATTATTGTTGTTGTTGTTGTTGTTGTCGTTATTATTATTATTATTATTATTATCCTTACTACCGTTTCATTATCATTATATTATTAAATAATTATTATTGTCTATTTTAATTTAGTTTTAATATTAAGCAAGCAAATTATTTCAGCCACCCGATCGATTAGCGCTGGTAATTCAGGAAACGTTACGTGAATTCTTCAGTGCTGTGCAAAGTGGACGTGATGCGGAACCATCATGGAAGAAGACAATTTATAAAGTAATCAATCGGATGGATGATCCAATTCCGGAATATTTCAAAGATCCAAATTTCTTAGAACGCCTTGAGGGTTGAATTTTTTCCCATACGTCTTTTTGATCATTAAAAGCTGGAAATTTTGTTTAATTTTTATTGAAACTTGAAATTTAAAGTTGTTGAAACATTTTGTATTTGGCACTTCAATTATTTAAGAAGTTGACTGGAGCAAAAACCTCTGTTTCATTAAAAACTGCTGTCTTCCTACCGAAAATGCATGAAGCCCAACCATGATCAGGAGGTAAGTACTTTTGGGAGCTGAAAAACATCGCCTGTTTACTCATTTAATCGGCTCATCAGTTCCTTAATTTATGCTTTATTAATTACACTCCTCCCGGTAACATCTCTCCCCACCGATTTTCTGGCCGGTCTTGGTACTTTGGGAATTTAAATCATTGAATTTATCTAATTTTTTAGCAAAAATACAATTCCAGTCTCCTGGTGCATTTTAAATTCTTGGGTTTTTTTGGAAAGATACTAGTTTGGGAAATCGTAAGAAAGCATTTGTGATTTGCACGGAAGGAAAAATTCAAAGAAAATATTAAAATTGGGAACTTTAAATTTTAAGTACAGTTTAAGACAGAGGACGGCACTTTACATTTTTGATATGCTTTTGACTAAAAAATATGATGGAAAATTTTTTTAATTTTTGGTAGCCATGTTTTTTGAGGAGAAAAATTTGTGTATTTTCATTTTGAATTAACATTTGGAGAATTAAGTTATGGAAACTAGGAGTTAAAATTTTGTAAGTTTTGAGAACTTCTTTTGAAAAAATTAGTAGTGAATAATACTTTGAATTTTTAGATTCGTGTCCATGAGTGTCATAAAAAGGGATTTTTTCAAAGGAACTATAGAGCGGAAGGCGGCATTTTTGACACTGTTTTAGGCGAAGAACTGGTAATAGTTTTCATTTTTCACTGAATACTCATTAAAATTAGCAGCAACCCTGCTAACAATCGGTGGATGTCGCATATAAGTGAATGGTACCCGCAAGAAAGTAAGCGACCACTCGTGGGACCTCAGAAGCGGAAGCGCACATAAATCGAGCTGGTGGATGGTAATAATTGGGAATGTATAGCTTAAGATTCGGGGGTCCGCCATAACTGAAATCTATCGTTTTGGGGCATCCCAATAAAATCTCTAACACGGAATATCCACATTGATAGTGATGACGTTAGTAAACAAAGAGAATGAAAAAAATAGTGGTAATTTTTATGAAAATGCCAAGATAACTTATCGTTTATAAAAACCATTAACAGCCGGTGAACTTAGCATGCTAATGAGGGAGTAGGAAAATTGTTATGGTTAGGTCAATTTGAAGTTCTGCCCTATGAAAAATGCAAAATTTGTAGGGATTTTTTTGTGGTTCTTCTTCTGCCGCACCAAGAGAAAAATGATTTCTGGTACCGTTCCTATGACAGTCGGATGGAAGACG